CGAACATCGCCACATTTATCTCAGGCCCACTGTCGTTACATTCCTAGACATACGTGCCACTTTTGACTCCGTTGATCGACCTGCTTTATGGCGTTGCATACTAAAGAACGGGGTGCCAGAGAAATATACTGCCATCTTACGAGCACTTTACCTTCATGCATCCGGCAGAGTGAGGGTCTATGGCAATCTTTCCTCGCAATTCGCTGTTAATAGCGGTGTGCGACAGGACTGTTGTATGTCCCCATTTCTCTTCAACTTCGCAATCGAAGACGTTCTGTCGAATACTCTAGAAGGTTTCCAACATTTTGTCCTAGAACTTTTACCGGGTGAGCGCGCGACCGACTTAGAGTATGCTGATGATATCGCCTTACTTGGTGACGATCCTCAGGGTATGCAACTAATTCTGGATCCTTTGGCGGTTGAAGCATCTAAGTATGGCATGAGCTTCGCCCCATCGAAATGTAAAGTACCGCTCAAGGATTGGCTTTCACCTGCTCTCGTGCTCACTCTGGAAGGTGCACAACTTGAAAAGGTAGATAGTTTCTTCTACCTTGGGAGCTGTGTTTCTGCTGACGGCACTATTAACAAAGAACTTTCTCTTCGCATCGCTAAAGCTCGATCAGCATTTGTCAATCTGAGGCACTTGTGGCGTCGTCGCGGCGTCTCATTCTCGCTAAAGTGCCGCGTTTACAACGCATGAGTTCGCTCAGTATTGTTTTATGGACGCGAGTCCTGGCCGATTCGCGTGGAAGACATGCATCGTCATTCTGCCTTCGATAACGGTTGCTTGAGGAGGATTGCTCGTGTTTGGTGGCAACATCGAGTTAATAGTAATGACGTTCGACGTCGCGTTTCTGGGAATGCGAGTATTCCCTTCAACATACTGGTTTTGTTGCGCCAATTAAGATGGCTCGGTCACGTCCTACTCATGGCACCTGAGCGTCTACCGCTTCGCGCTCTATTCGCTCGTCAAGGACCTGGCTTGATGCGACCGCGTGGTGGCCAGCCTTCTACATGGCGGCAGCGCATGAAATCGCTGACATCGTGTCTAGCCGCGGTTGGACCCGTACGTCTTCCAGGATGGGGACCTGAAGATGAGGACTACCAATGTCTTAACACTCTTGACGACATGGCCCGCAACCGGAATCAGTAGAAGAATTGTGTACAGTATCGCAATAATTCACATGTTTAATACTTCAAACATTGAAAATGACAAAAAAAGCAGAAAAATAACCGTGTGAAGAACAAACTAAAAATGTTTTGTTCTAATTTTTGCCCAAATGTTCCTTTCTTCCTGCGGCGTGGTAGCTGAAGTGTGTTGCTCACCTTCAACTACTATGTCACGATGATTATGACGCGATGACTCACTCTTATCCTCTGATCTCCATGGTTTTCTGTTGGTTCTTTGTCTAGTTGTTAGACTGCTGAGATCACTCACTCACTCACCAGGTAAGCAAAGTTGTCCACTTGTTTTAGTTGCGTACTTTGAAGAGTGAGTAATGGAGCAGGTGGATGCCAAACCAAGACCAGGACTTTGCATTTCGTAGGGGCAGAGCTCATTCCATATTTTGATGCTTCAATCACCAAGCGGTTTAGAACGGCTTATGTGCTCTGTGCGTCATCACCACGCAAGTCAATATCATCAGCATAATCTTAATCGGTCACGCGGTTACCAGGAGGAAGCTTTACACCAAAACCCTGAGAGCCCTCGAGAACGTTTAAAAGGACATCCTGGATCGCAAAGCTGAAGAGAAACGGGGACATGGGGCAACCCTGTCGTACACCGCTAGTGACTGCAAAAGGTGGAGAAAGCTTACCATAAGTCCTCACTTTACCTGAGACATTGCAATATAATGCTCGAAGGATGGCGATATACTTTTCGGGTACTCCATCCTTTTGTAAGCAACGTCATAAAGCTGACTGATTGATGGAGTCGAAAGCGGCTCGGATGTCCAGAAAAACAACGATAGTGGGCTGGCGGTAATGATAACGCGTTTCGAGGAGTTGACGGAGCGCAAACCAGTGGTCTATACACCCTCTACCGGGGCGGAAGCCAGCCTGTTCTTCACCTGTGTGCAATTCTCGAATCGGGGTTAGTCTGCGGAGTAGAATGGATATTAACAGCTTGGTGGCAATGGACATTAGACTGATCCCTCTGTGGTTAGCGCATAGGGTACGGGCACCTTTCTTGATGACCGGGACGATAATCGACTCTCTCCAAGCGTATGGAACTGTTTCTTCACACCAGATCTTAGAGAACAAAGCTGTTAACTGGTTGACAAGTGCTTCGCCCCCGAACTCGAACAGCTCTGGAGGAAGTCCGTCTGGACCACCAGACTTGAATCGCTTCAAGTGTCGGAGCGCGAAGCAGACCTCAGCTTCAGTGGGTGGTTCCAATGAGACGTGCCATGGCGCGTAAGTAGGTATACTCAGTAGACTCGCCGGCGGAGGAGGTCAGCTGAATTGAGTGCGGAAGTGTTCAGCCCAGCGGTCCATACGCCTGTGTAACTAGCTTATCGGCATTCCGTCAACCTCACAAATAACCTCACTAACACCAGGTCTTCTGTGACCAGTGGACCGAATGACCTGGAAGAGCTTGCGGAAGTTTCCAGAGAGGGCTGCCGTTTCCATCTCTGAGGCGCGCTGAGACCACCCAGTTTCGCGATCCGCACTCAGGCTTTACTTAGGTTGTTGGCTGAGAATGCGACGCAGTGCACTGCTATTTGGATCGACCGGGGTAGCTCTACGACAATCAAACAATTCCAATGAGTGTGCGGGCGTCTTGTGATTCCGCAGATTGAATGACTGGAAGTTGTTATCGCTTCAAGCAGGAAACTCCAACGATTTTCAATGTCTTGAGGTGGAGCCTCAATGAATGCATGCGATAAGGAAGCTTGTTAAGTTGATCGAGTAGAGAGGTCAGCTAACTTGTTGGTGTCGAGCGTATGGAGCTTTCGCTTTGAGGAGCCGCCGAAGCGCATGCAAATGTCCGCGCAGACCAAAGCATGATCTGAATCGAGGTACGTAGACCAAATCGATCTACAACCCCGGACGCTGCCTAGCCATCTAAAGCTGATATATATATATATATATATATATATATATATATAATGACAGTTACTTTCTGAAAAATACGCTGTTTGTACGGTTTCCTTCTACATGGTTCATCTGGAAAGTCACCTAGGGTGCTCCAGCAATAGTCCGCCATCATGTGTCTGTCCCACCTGCCTTGATACTACTTTTCGATCACTAGTGTGCAGATGGAGCCTCTCACCTTGTTCTTCGCTGAAGTCACAAAAATCATCGGGAAATCTGTCTTTGTGGCTTTGGGAAAGATTTAACTTGGTGCTCACGTCGTCACAAACCAATGTTTCAAAGTTTGCAAGCATGTTCTCCATCACTTCTCCATAGCTGTTTGCTTTATGGTTACCCAGGTAGTTCTGGAAAACGATTGGTTATTTGACATAATTGGCTACTGGACACAATTGCTAGTGTTGTTGTCATGATCTCAGGCATATGTCTTCCACTAACCGTACAACCGACCAATCCGCCTTCCGACTGCTTACTGTTTCTCCAATGCGCTGGGCCGAATTCGTTACCGCGTGCAGAGTTCTCATGAGTAGCGCCTGGTTGGTCAGTCGTCTATTCGGCTGATGCTTCCTCGGTTGACCATCTGCCATGGCTGCACGCGTTGCTACAATGGTGTCAGACGTGTGTAATCCACTCGCTGTACAACCGATCAAACCGCTTTTCCGCTTTCTGCTGGGCCAGAATAGTCGTGCGTGCTCGGCTTTCGTCTGATTGGCCCCCAGTCCATCGGTATCATATCGATTCCATCCGATCACGGTCCCAGCCACCTTCACACCTGGTAGGCCAAGTCACTTTCCTCCAACGATGTGGTTTAACGCTGCTGTCCCATAAACACATGAGACAAGGCTACTATAGTGCTCCGGATTTCTGCCGTCTGGCTGCTGTCTGTTACATAAAACTTTCTGAACAATTATAAAATTGTCGTTTTATTATGTACCTAGGGAATTAAGCGGCTCGCTTGTTTGCAGGATTGCTCATGTTTGTTCGGGTCAACATACCCCGTCGCCATTCCGATACGAACCGCCATTTGCTTCCAGCTGCTCTGACGAACTCTGCTCTCACTCGCATCCCCCATGCTAGCTCTCGCTTTGGTGCCTTTTCTTTAACACGTGTTCTTGCTTGCCTACGATCAACCGGCCGCCCGTTTGTTAGTTTATTCGTTTACCATTGGTATAGCGCATCGATCCAATGCGCTATAGCACTTTGTGTATATACTTTGCCGTCCAAGCATGAAGTTTACTCGCTATAAATTCATGTGAATAATCTCATTGGGATTGCTATAGCATAATTTCACTAAAAGATTTTGGGTATTTTCATGTCCTCTTTAAGTTTAGTTGACTGGGCAATTGGCACGGGTACATTTTGGTTGCCGTTGTGCAATAAGACGCACTGCAGCTGTTTATAAAAAGCCTCTACTCTGTCGGTTGCTATAACCGTAGTCCCGTTATCATTACGTCCATATGAACTTATATGTCTGTGAAAACAGAGGATTCTAACTTATTGATTATTAATATTATTGATTTTTAGTTAATTGTTATATCGCAAAAACTAGAGCCAGTTTGTGAAAAATGTTCTCATATTTGAAATCACTACCACCTAATTACTGTTTATTCGTCAACATATCCTCGGTACCAGGAAACGTTTTTGTTGACCATTGTAATATTCGATTTAGTTGACTACGAAATTTAATGGCGAAATCCATTGAAAGGTTATCTCGCGTATCCGCCTTAGCTCCCGAAAATAAACCATTTTTGCTTCTACTCTTGTTCATCGGGTCTACTTGGGCATTCCAAATGATTACTCAACGTCTTTCTTTTCCGTGAGCATTGCCATTTCATGGATTGCTTTAAATACCACTAGTCATGACGCCAAGTGCCTCCTTGTACTTTTCTTTCATTTCTTCCTCCTAGCATCGCTCGGTTCCGGATGTGGTTCCTTCTGTGGTGACTCTCGAGGAGGCTGCGTGTCAAACAGGTGAACTTTTCCCGTTGGTATACAATCAGTCTGTTTTAGCCTGGCTTTGCGTTTCACCCAGCCTTTTGACGTCAGCTTCTCTCGGTGTCATTTAGAGCTTATCTTAACCGGTAACTTTCAATTCTCCTATAATCTCTGCATGTCTCATCATTTCGACTTTTGTATTACCCCCCAGCGACCGTGTGCAGTGACTATGACACTTCGCGTATATTTGAAGCTCATTCATACTATTTTTGCATATAGCCGTTTGGAGTACTGAGCTTCAATAATGAAATGATACTCGACTCTACTCACCTTTTTACTCCTTGCCGATGTCAGACCATTCTGACTTTTGAAGTAGATTGATTTGCATGTTATAATCCTGTCTCAGGGAACGTCTCCAATTGTCTCTGTATGATTGATTTTGAATTAAAACTGGTGCGGTTACGGCATCGTGCTTCTGTCTCGCACCCGCATCACGAACGTTTTCTCACGCTCTCGATTCGTTCAGACGTTGGCAAAATTTGATGGCTTCTTCAATTTCATATGGGTTCACTTCTGTTCCACTGTTCCCACCTCACAACTTAAAAAAGTTGCAGTACCGATCATGGGGCGAAGTGTTACAAACGATCAACATCCAATATCTGTTTACTACTGTTTCGCTTTCGCCGATTTTTCCGCTGAACCTTCTTCTCTCTGCCTTTTACGTTAACCCTCGCAAAGAGGCCGGACCTTGTCGTGGTTCCAGTTTCGACGATCCATCGAGCTGTGCTGGATGATGCCTCTTGCACTTTCATAGCCACTCATACCAGTTTGATCAACGGTTGGCATCTAGACCAACTTAGTCTCCTGGCCCTCCCGGCTGGGAATTGAATTGCGGATGACTCCATACCCCCTAACCAGACTGTATAGCTCAATGCCAACTGCGTGCCGCCTTGCGGTCAGCTTTATGAACCGAAGGCTTTGGTTGCGAACCCTAATCCTTTTCCTGTGTAGACCTGGGTAACCCAAAAGTATCCTGCTTGCGCAATACAATGAAAATCTCTTTCAACTTTTCGCTTCTGCACTAATAATCTTAATTGCCGACCCTCTCATACTTACTGAACTTTCATCGGAAGTGATTCGTTCGTTTATACGGGTAACCTTTTAGCCTCCGGCGATTAAATCATTAACTCAAATACCGGGATCTGTTAAGGTTCATCAGATAGAAATCAGATGTTGTCCCTCCAAAGAACACTGCACACCACACACTCCAAGGTTCATCAGACATTTCGGCTTCCTAATAAGAGGGATGGGATGCTCAGATAATAGTCATCCCACTGAGACCCACTAATGAGTATCACTGTTTTGGAGTTGACTGGTCGATTGTCTTTGTGATGTGCGCACGTAAGTGGGGTAGATCAATCAAACCGTTACTGATTTTGCTCAGCTCGACATCCATCCTTCCTTGGCATCATATTCTTGCTCATTCTGGTAGTGATACTGGCTCGTGCTCGAATCGGAAACATATGTCGATCCCTCCTACCGAACTCCGTTGACATTTGTCTCGTTTCGGTCACTGCAGTCTATCCTTTTACGCAATTCTGGTACCAATTTTATGAGGAGCAAGCTGCAACTTGTTTGTTGTGCTCTTTCAACATGTTCTGGTTGCCAGTATACCAGGTTTGAAGCACGTCTTTTTTGTTTTACCTGCACTTAGTATGTTTGTGGAAAGGTTCATAGTATTGTGTGTGCATAATACTATCAGGTTGCTCAAGTCTAAACAGGACGACAATTAGGATTCTCAACCTTTGGTTCAAAAATCTGACCGCAAGGCAGCGAGTTTGGCATTGGACTACAAGGAGTCCATTTTAAGGAATAAAGAGCCACCCTCCTTCCATATTTAGCCTGGAGGACCGGGAGACTAAGTTGGTCTAGCCTCTAACCATTGACTAATCTGGTATGAGTGACTTTGAAGGTGCAGAATGCACCGCCCAGCATAGCTAAATGGATCGCTAAGGCACGTAGACCATCGCATCGCGTTTAGATCCAGTCTCATTGGGGCACAATAGCTGAGGTGTTTTGCACCTCTAGTTAACGTGTGTAATGATGATGATGCACTTCGTCTGTTACTTGATGCCAGTACAGCTTAATGACATTGTTAACTACGTAATTGGGTCTTAGACACAAATTGCTGCTACCAACTTTGGTCTGACTTTGCTGCGATTATTTGCATTATCTGCGGTGCTTCATCTAGCAATACTATGACGTGCTAAACCTTCTTGATCTACTCGACTGTCGTAGTTCTTTCACTACACTGTACGCGCTGCTAAATTGTTGTTGCATCTTCTGCACCTCCGTTTTCAGCCCCTTGTGATGGGACGAAGATGCTTCACGCTTCTTCATCGAAGACGACTTCCAAATCGTCTGTAGCCACGCGTGCCAGACGTGAAGCGTCGAAAATCGGGGGCCGCACTCGCGATCATCAAAACTCCCTCACAAAGCCGACGAAACTGCTGGCTTCGGGGTCTCAGGGTATGTGGACCCCATCACTGCATATCTGTCTTTTATGTCTGCCTGCTTAGCCCTAGGCGGTTCGTATCTACCGCACTTTATTTCTCATTGTTTTATTACGTTTTCGGTACTATACTTATACATGTGACCAGGCTTATTAATTTGTATCCGGATGCGACTATAGCTCGGCTAGGAAGGAATACGTTCAGCGAACAACCGAGGCTCCCATCGCTGTTACGGAGCCAAGGCCTGGCAGGCGATCCAAACTCACCCGCACTGATTAGGGCGAACAGATAGCCAACCGGATGAAGCGGCCAATTAACACGAGGGTGGCATTCCTTGATTGGCCGTAAGTTGCCCCTTCCAGAGTTTTCCACGTGAGCGTTAAGGGCCATTCACGAAATTTCGAATTTACCTTTATAATGAACGGTGTGGTTGGCTAATACATCCCTGTTCCTCTGCTCGCCCGATCCGGTCTTCTCTCTCTGGGGGCCTAGCATCCTCGAGTTCCGATTGAGAATCAATCGTCAATTCAGGCGAGGGACGAACACTTCAAACTCACTTCCCCATATCTTCTCACACTCACGGAACTCGAGCACAGTTGTTTTAGTTATGGGCAGTCTTTGTTTTTGTATCTCGTCTTTTTCTCTTTTCCTCGGCACTCCCTCTGCTTCGATCTGGTCACAATGCCCGTCCATATCGGGTGTGTTGGTGTCATCAGAACTCTTGTAGGGTAGAGACAAGACGCGTTTCGAAAACCCCATAGTAATTCGTCTCTTTTGACAGTCCTTTTATTTTTAGTTTAAAACAGATCTCGTCAATGTCCCCTATAACTCCCCCTGCCACCAAATATATTGCGGGGGCAAGTGTTGGTCTAAAACTGTCCAACTCCATTGAAATATGATAAAAAACGGGGGAAAATATAAAAACCTAGTGTGACGTGTCAATACTCTAAACAATCTAGTTTCAGCAGTAGCATCGAAGAAGCTTGGTCCTCAAAACGCTTCATCCCTGACACATCTATGTCAAGAGCTACAGGGTGGCGCACGAAATGTCATACCATTTTTTTATTCATTGCACATGTATTTATCATCAAAATATTAAAAAAAATTAGTGCAAAATTGATTGCATGAGCCTGGAAATTCAATTCGCTGTAGTATGTATTCAATATGATCATCATTTTATTTCCTAACTTCTTGCAAGCTTCCATGTTTTCCGAGATGCGGACACTTGGTTTGCACCGTCGATTTTTCCCACCACAGAGCCCGTTGTTTCAAATTGCGGATACAATCACTGAATGTTCTGTTTACCTTTGGCGTATTTTATACGAAACTACGCTTGAAAACGTCTTCGTGTCGCTACAAAACTCATATTTTCTGTAAAAAAAACATCACAACTTTCACCTACTGTTCAACACTCAATCTACTCTTATGTACCATGTTGAAAGTCTGTTCGGCGCCAAGCTTCTCGTGACATCTACCGGACTTTCCATAAACCAACGCATACGATTACTAGTTTTCAATATTACATCTATTATATTGCATGTGTAATGTACAGAACAAATGACATGACATTTTGTGCGCAATCCTGTATGTAGACGTTTTCTTCGATGACAGATAAAACTCACTTAAAAACTTTGTTTTGCATTAGATTAAATGGCAAATTGTACATCTTTGAGTATGTGAGTAGTACGATTGTCAACAAGCACGTGTTGATTCGTGTGTTGGCTGACATCTTTCGGGCTGGATTACACAAGTCCCTGCGAGAAAAGTACGGTGACTTTGTCACCTTCGTGGTCCGTCATCTAACTTTGGTTTCGCTAAGCACACAAGTGAACGTCTTTGAGTGTGCGCATTCCTCCAAATTCATGATTGGACTCCCACCTTCAGGACGCTGGAATGTAGATGAGATTGGTTTCAGTGGCCACATGAATCCGTTATGCGTTATGCTGGAAATGGTGGATCGGTCTGCTTCCAGGGTGGCCCATCAGGCTGCTGTTTCAAACACATCAGACGTCATTGTAAGTTGTCGTCTTGTATGTAGACGCAACTTTCTCTTCCGTAATCTGTTTTAAAGGATTTCACTATTTTTAGTAACTAACTAAATAGTTTATCCTCGGCAGTGCCAGACACGCCTGCGTAAGCATCATCACCTTAGTAAAAACAAGAATGATGCATAATTGTATAAACATGTTACAAAGTTATCACTAACATAATATATCTATGTGTTTATGTGTATATGAATGTAACAATAACAACAACAACAAACAACAGCAGCAGTACATCAGCCGTTTGAACTGATGCTTCGCTGCCATACAACCATAATGACCTCTGAAATAAAAAGTAATAAGAGGCGGAGAAGGGGGACTTACCTGAAAACCTTAATGTCCTAAGCAAACATTCAGGGCCAAGGCGCCTACACCTTGTGTAGACAACATACCCTCGCAAACAGCTTGCTATCGTGCAAAGATAAGGCGGCATCGGCGAGACAGCTTCCTTGCGGCATTCACTGCCCCGCGTCATAATCAGCCATTACCCCGCAGATAACTCAGCATCAAGCGCACTTTAAACAGGCAATCCGATTAGGAAACGGCAGCAGACGCGCCACTGGTGTCGGTTGCGAGCCATGTGCTGTAAAGTCTCGAGCCAAGCACAAGGCGAGTCACGTGGACTCCAGCCCGGAAAACGAGATGGACCAACGGCATCCAGTTTGGTCGTCAGTAACTTCATTTCCCGCTGCCAAGTCAACTTCTGTTCAGCCTTCAGCGGAACTGCAATCTGCAATTGTATCGCGAATCGGCATTGGTGACGAAGTATTAGAAACCACCTCCCGCTTCTGCTACCTTGGGACTGTGATGTCGACTGACCAGCAGCTACACAGTGAGCTGCGTATCCGCGTATCCGAAGCAGCGGCGGCATTCGAGATGCTTGAGTACCGAGTGTGGTACAACCACCAAACTACCGTCAGCACGAAGTTGATGGTGTACAAATCCATGGTGCTGTCCGTTCTTCCATGCTTCAGCAAAACGGGGACGACTTAACGGCGAGATGTGAGATAACTCCAGCGGTTACATCAACAGTGTTGCGCCGAAGTTATATGTATGCAATGGACTGCATACTTTTGCCGAAACACCTGAGGTGGCTCGTCGTTTCAGGTGATTGGCTGTTGTTTGATGTGCATGTTGACAAGGTACCTTCCTGTCCATTACCAACTGCATCCTCCATACAGGCTCCAGGAGAGAGTTGGTCGTCGCTGGATGGGACGGGTTGCACGTTCCTCGTGGTCGTGCTAGGCTCGAACAGTGGTTCTATGCACTCAATTTGGAGCTGACTACGGTCCAGCTACCGTCTTTTGTGTGCATGATTCCCCAACTGCAGCGTGCTTGTGTTTGCCTGTGAAGGAGTGTGGGCCGACTTCGTTGATGGGACGTGGCTCCCATTCACATGCCTCCCGGTCTTATTCCTTCGGGTTTTCACTGGATATGGGGTGTGTTGATGGTGCTGTGGGTGGTGCTGTGCAAGCCACCCATGGTCCCTTTGTAGGCGCAAGCGTCCTGTGGCTGGCCACAGTGACAAGCAAATCCGTGAACCCGATGCTGCCAACCATATGTCTTCCTGAGGTTGATGTTGCATTCATGATACCTCTTCACCGCAGTTGGTCTCAACCAACTTACACTTAATGTAGGTCTTTTTAATCTGAATAAGTTATTGCGCTTTATTTTGTTTGTTCAATGCTGTTACTGTGCCGCATATTCTGTGTCAATTTTGCGTGTTTGCTTTCCCTTAAATTATATTTATGCTTGTTTGATATCCCCAGTGTGTCTGCACGTAATGTGAATGTTGACCAGGTGCCTACCGGTCTAACACTCCATCTCGATTACTGGCTCCAGGAGACTGTGAATCGTTGCTGGGAGGGTGGGACGGGGTGCACTGTCCTCGTGGCTGTGCTAGGCTCAAAGAGTGGTTTCATCCATTGTGGAGCGGAATTCGTCTCAACCACCGCCTTATGTACGTCTGGTACGCATGATTCCCAACATATTGACAGGAATGCTACTGCTATTCATATTGAAGGATTGTGATCCGGCTCCGTTGATGAAAGGTGGCTCCCATCTACATGCCTCCCGGTCTTTTGTCTTCGGGTTTACACTGGATATGGGGTGTGAGTGGTGCAGCACAAGTCACCCACGATCCCTCTGTAGGCGCAACGTCCTGTGGCGGTCCTTGTGTAGGCAAACCTGGAACCGGATGCTGCCAACCATGGATCATGAATTTGATCTCAGGGAGCCCCGATATGGACCGCTCTAGGTTTTAACTCCAAACGCTTCATTCCCAAAACGTTTTGGTGTCTTCGATTTCATTTTTTATTTACTTTGCCTTATTTTCCTTCATTTTTCTCCATAGGTTTTATCTGTCGATAATGTCATGTGTGCGTGGTTTAGAGTGGTGTTGTGTTGATGTTTTTTTTTACATACATCGTAGTTGTTTCGTCCGGTCGATCATCTAATTGCAGTGCGAAATTTCTACGGCCTTTTCAACCTGTCTCTCACTCTTTTGTATCACATCTTTAACGAATCTTTTATCGATTACCTGTGTTTACTTGCGCCTACATTCTATGCATAAACTGGTTAATTTAATTGGCCTGTTTGTTCTCCGCTTCCATTAGCGTTTCTGCGCTCGATCCTAGCAACCCTAAAGTATCACATTCGCTTTTATTAGCCTTCCTCGTTCACGCACGGCACACTAATTGTCATTCATTGAAATGACGAATAATCGAGTTAGTAGATAGCTGTAATCACATCGGATGTTACCTCGAGGTTACCATGCCACTATGTGACTGAACCCGCACATTGGTTGCTCTCGGACTTCTTTGTCCGATAACGCGACCGTAGTGTGTACATTGTTGCCGCGGTTACTACGTTGCAGTGGCCCTGATTAATCGCCCCCGTTCATTTCGCGAGTTTCTTATACCATCTGGCGGACAACATTTGTAATCAGTTTAAAGAGGAATTGCGCTTGCACCCTGGTGTTTTGTCCGCAGCTTTCCGTCCAACACATCTTCGCCAAACTCGATTGCAAGTACGTAGAAATCACTCACTACATGTCACCACCTAGCGGCGCGTTGCTCACAGTTTTGGATGTATTATGGCTTGTATGTTTGTAGGAACGCTGTATTCGATTTACTAACCGCGTGCTTGCATGCCAATTCTCTTTGCTTCAGGTGGTGGGTTTGCAATTTTGTCCTAATGCTTTTCTTTCTCATATAAATGTCTATCTGAACTATCTTCTACATACTTGCACACGTCGCTTAAGCTAATTGTAGTTAACTTCGATAAAATTTTCGCGCTTGTGACATTTCCTTAAAATATATTTTCTGACGTCTTGTACTTATCGCATATTCGTTTGTAACTAATTTATTTTACACGCTCATTTAGTGAAGAGTTACGTTACCGTGTCTGTATGCAGTATCCGATTTATTTTATTTGATATTGTTTTTTAAAATGATTGGCTATTGCTTGATATCCCCGGTGTGGCTGCGCTTGATATGCATGTTGACAAGGTGCCTACCTGTCTATTACCCACTACCTCGTCCATACTGGCCCTAGAAGACAGTTGGTCGTTGTTGGAGGGGACGCGGTGCACGGTCCTTGTGGCCGTGTTAGGATCAAAGAGTGGTTCCATGCACTCAGTGTGGAGTGGACTACGGTATAGTTACCTTGTGTGTGCTTGATTCCCCAACTACAGCGTGCTTGTGTTTGCCTGTGAAGGAGTGTGAGCTGGCTCCGTTGATGAGACGTGGCTCCCATCCGCATGCCTCCCGGTCTTATTCCTTCGAGTTTACACTGGATATGGGGTGTGTGGATGGAGCTGTGGGTGGTGCAGCGCAAGCCACCCATGGTCCCTCTGTAGGCGCAGGCGTCCTGTGGCTGGCCACAGTGGCAGGCAAGTCCGAAACCGGATACCGCTAACCACCATGTTTGTACCAAGAGGTGGATCTATTGCTTGTGTTCATTTGTTTACGGATTTTGCGTAACAGAATTCGTCGGAACCATAGTGTAGCACCACTGAGGGCTCTTTCTTGAACATGGTCAAATAAACGCCCAGTCAGACCGCTTTCTGATGTGGGTGACCCACTTCGTCAGACATGCAGTTTCTGCTCATAATCTAGTTAAGCCCCTGGACATCGACCTTTCTGCTGTTCTCTTTCTTAGCTGGTTTTTGGTTTACTATTTTTCATCGATGGTGTTTTAGTGGGTCCTACTCGATTTTGCGACTTACACTCCTGGACTTTAAACACTGGATTCTGCATGATATCTGGTCCACATGTCTTTTACCATCCGTACGCAGTAGGACTATTTCCCAATGATATTGTTTGTTTCTAAAGCAGTCTGTATTATTATGGACTACTGAATACTGTATTATAGAGCAAGTAGGAATGAATTCTGTATAACTCTTTCAAAATATGGTGAAAACGTCATAAAAATTGTCAACTGTGACTATCATTCTCGTATAAACATTTGAACTATCTGACTCACGATATTGCATGACTCACAACTGTGGGGTTATTATACCCAATTTTCCGTTACCCTTCTCAAATCCATCAGTTCCTTTCTTCTCGGTACATCTATGCCATATGTGGATGGAACTGTGGGTGGTGCAGCGCAAGCCACCCATGGTCCCTCTAGGCGCAGGCGTACTGTGGCTGGCCACAGTGATAGGCAAATCTGAAACTTGATGCCGCCAACCATTATCCTCTCCGACGGCCAGAACATCAAGAGATTATTTAATGTCATTTTTGGCCGTGAACTATTGTTGAAGCGATGTATTCACTGTGTGTTTGCTTTTTGACACGCTTTCATTTGTAGAATTCTACTTTAAATATCTCCGGAGGGCTTGGATAGGTCGAATCTACTTTACTGCTGTTTCATGGTTTTCATTGAGTTCGCCTTATCAGGGGATTATTAAAAGCTCTTCATTCTTTTTGGCCTTCCATTTCCCTATCTAGCGAAGACGCACCTGTCGTGTACCACTGATGATCTGGGTATGGCTCCTCGTCTCTCAGCGGCTCCTTCCAATAAGTTTGTAAAACCACATGATTCATCAGCATCTGTTGGCTCGGGTGTAGCTCGCTTGGGCAGCACATACACCCGTGCCTCTACTGGACCCTGCGGTCCAAGGGAAGTATCTGGAGCAAACTGCATGTCGCGTTGCGGTCGGATGTCGGACATTGCCAAGCCATCTATTGGGCAAAATGCATCCACGGCCGTGCGCTGTGCATCAGATTCGGGATATCCAAGGTGTGTTTGCGACTGTCTTCAACATTTACTGTATCCAAATTTGCCTCGTTCCTTGCCTATAGGTTGTATGTTTCTCATTGTGTTACAGTTACTCGTCACTGGAGAAGTCGCGTACCCGTATTCCCGTTCCTGGTAAGTCCATTCACCTCTCCTCATTCAGAATTTCATGTCACAACTAATTTGCTCGTTATGATCTGCCCTTTACATCGGTAGCATTCACTGATAACGCCTCCCAGCTATCCTTGTGCCTTTCAGTTGCAAACCGGTCGTCTAGCACCAACCAAAGTCGACCCAATCTGCTCACTCCCATACCCTCTAGTCCGCCTTTGTTGGATCGCGGTTCAGATGTCCACCCACCCACGTATCAAGCCCTCAACTTGATCCGAACTGATGATGTTTTGCCTCCAAAGCAGGATACTGGCGCTGTGGGAGGCTCCTTTTACAAAGAAACGCACTTGGGGCACGGGGCGGAACCATGCTCATTGGTGAGTTGTACCTGCATATAAATGTGCGATTTACACCCGCTATATTTGCCCTGTCTGTCGCTTTCATTTTCACATTCTTACCCTTAGTCTTCTCGTCGCCGTGAAAACTTTTTTGCTTCACCTGGAACTCGCCGGCGCACTATCGAAGATCGTCTGGACACACAAGTAGCTTCGAATCCATGCAACTGTTGTAACGCCGATTTCCATCTATTCTCTGCCACTGCTAACCCAGCCGGGACGAAACAGAACACTGAGCCTGCTAGACCGAAGTGTATTAGGCACAGAACACAGTTCATTTTATAGGTCACAATCTATCATCTATTCTAAGTTCCTGAGCTGACTCAAACCACTTGCCTGGATAGATTCCATACCTGCTAGCGTGCGGCCCTGTCATGTAGCAACCTGTTTCATGCTGACGGTCTGATTTCGTCAGCTTCCGGCGTGACTTAGCCTTGTTGCTGCCACTGGGGTAAGCTGTGGCTTCCGATTACCTCCCTTTTCGAATTGAGTCTGCTTGCGTACTGTTCGAACTCGCTTCTGTTCATAGTTTGTCGCTTTGGGGTCATCTTTTGCCATTGTGGTCCTCTTCGCTTTCGGGTCGTCCTGCATTGTGTATCATCTGCTACTTGCAGGTTCTGTTGTGATCCACGTAGCCGCTCAGCTTCCTCTTCCAAACCAAACTTGTCTAGCAGATTGTCCCACGGTAAGGATGGTGGTTCCGAGGAACTTTGAGTCTTGCTGTGATTCAGCCTCAGCTGGTTGGCGTTTCTGACCCTTTTCTCATTTCCTACCATTAGCTCGTAAATGACTCGGCCCTTTCTGCAAACCAATCTTCCTGTTGATCACTTCCTCGTTCCTCGGAAGTCTCGCGCGAACGCCATGTCACTAATTTCGAAATGACGGAGCCTGTCTGTCTGATTTTCCTTTACTGGACAACTACGATGTTTTTCTTTTCTGCTTGGCACAAGGTTATCGAACAATGTTCGGATCTTTCGTCCAAATAATATTTCGGCAGTGGCTTTTCCCTCTGGGGCGCTTGGGTTTGGCGCATTCCGATACATGCACAGGAAAGACTGGATCGCATCCTTTGCGACCTTGTTTTTGTCCCGCTTTACAAAGAGCACGTTTTAAGGTATCCACGAACCTGTCAGTTTGATTGCGGATGATAGGGTGATGAGAACATCTGCCGAGTTTTTTCTTTTTGCAACAGTCGCAAAATGCTGGAACTACTTATCCAGTCCATTGCTCATGTACTGAGTAGTGAGATATTTACATCGGGATCACATCAAACCACTTGGGGAAAGAGTCCACCAAAACAAGATACGATTGACCAGCGATTGGTGCTGCATAATCTAAGTGGGTTCGCTGCCATGGCTTCTCTGCTTTGGGCCACGGTTGTCAGGGACATTTGGGAAGGGCCTTCGCCGCCAGCTGACAGGATTCACATTTTTGGCAGATTCAATTTCTGAATCCATTTCGGGTCAGTAAACAAACTGCGTGCCAAGGCTTTCATTCGGTTGGCACCTGGATGCCCGGTATAAAACTACTGTAAACCTTTCTTGTTCGATTTCTTTGGCACCACCACTCGGTCTCCAAACATCAAAAATTGTCCACAACGGACAGTGACTCACCTTGAAGAAAGGCCGTAAGTCAGCAGGGATACCATTTTTTGGCCAACCTGTTTGCACGTAATGCATCATTTTCTCTATGGTTCTGTCTCGGGAGGTCTCCGCGCGAATAGTGTCGGCTGTCACTGGTAATTTTCTTCCATTGTCGGTCAGGTTTCGCTGAACGTCTGACTCAAAATTGATGGCTGCAATCACACAACCATCGTTCTCTTTTGGGCGCGAATTGATGAGACGAGATAGGGCATCCACTGGGCCGATTTGTTGCGTAGGTCGGTACTGTATACTTAAATCGTACGCCAACGGTATAGTCGCCCATCTTTATAACCGATTCGCGATGAAAAGGGACTTCCTTTCTTCGAGCCGAATATCGACATCAATGGCTTATGATCAGTCAGGAGGGTGGAATGCTTGCCATAGAGCATATTGTGGAACCGCTTCATGGCGAAAAGGATTGCGATTGCTTCTTTTCAATCTGACTATAGTTTTCAGCTGACGTTAGGGGCCGTGCCGCATGTGCAATAGCCTTTCCTCCGTTCCGAAAAAGGTAAGAAATAACATCGCCGATACCGTAACTGGAAGCGTCCGGGGCAACGATGATTTCCAAGTTCGGATTGAAATAAGTCAATAGTAGATCAGAAGTGAGTGCTGTTTTAACTGCGTCAAAGGATTGCTGGCATTCCCTCGTTCATTACCAAACGTTATCTTTCGTCAACAACTGGTTCAGCGGACCCCTGGTTTGATGCACTCTTGGTAAGAATACACTGTAAGGACTCACTAGACCGATGAATGAGCGAAGCTCTGCGACATCTTTCGGGTGATCCATCTGTTTGACTGCTTCGATATTGGCGGGATCTGGGCGCCGGCCATGTTGGTCTGAGTAACGCGAGGAATTTAACACTACCTAACATGAACTCACATTTCTCAGCCCGTAATCGAAATCCAGCTTCTTCCAAACGTGAAGGCACTCTCTCCAGTGTGTGCATCAAGTTTTGCGGGTTTGCGCCCATGATCAACGCATCATAATTTGTTGGAAAATGGCCGGTGCGGTTTTCACCTCAAATGGCAGCCGGTTGTACTGGAAAAGCCCGAGGTGGGTATTAACCGTTAGTAATGTTCTGCACTCCTTGGCAACTGGAACTTGCAAGTAAGCGGCAGCTAGGTCACGTTTTGCGAAGCATTTACCACCGTTGAGTTTGGAGAACATGTCTTCTGGTACAGGCAATGGGTAATGATGCGTTTCCAGCGTATAATTCAGTTCTCTTGCAAAATCGACACAGATACAGACCTTACCGTTTGCTTTCTTAACCATCAGAATCGATGTCACCCATTCTGAATAGTGAACCCGTTCGCTGGCTACGCGATAACAACATTTCATGGAGTCGCTTCAGATCTGCAGTTTGGTTGCGCAGGTCCGTCATTCTCTGGAACTCACCGGTCAATTGTTGCAATGTGATGTCAGGATTCTTTCCAATCTTGCTCAATATCCTTATTCGTATGTCTGCATCTGACTACTTGCAGGCCGCAAACGTAAATGAGGTCTTTGTACTGGTCGGCGATCATTTTGTAAAATTGTAAACTTTCACACTCGCGATTTACACGTATCGAGTAGGTGGCCCAATCTTCGTCATATTTCTTAGCCATCGTGAGGCACTTTACCGGATGTTGAACCACGATATCTGCTCATCAAAAATTTGTGACAGGGCTGAGACAACTTCGTCTAAGGATAGATCAGTGCTCTTATTTGCCAAGATTAAATTTGTAAACTTTTCATGTTCAGCCGTACCCAGCTTCCGGAGCATCAGGCGAATTTACTTCCCTTCTGGGACATTCGCGAAATCAACACGAAACATATCTTCATACTTGATAAACCAGGAAGCGAATGTTACGCCAGCATCCGCTTCATAATGGAATTCGCTGGTCTGCTGTCAGGGTTTCTGAAAAGGGGACACTTTCACTTACCCCTAAACCTAGGCTTGACTGTATCGACAGCTTTTGCGTCAACATTTAATGAGCTTGGCTTGTGGCTTCAGAGGTGCCTGATATTCTTCGAAGCTGGCTGCCATTTCTGGGTTCGATTTAAACTCGCGTCGCCACTGTTGTAACACTGATTTCCATCTGCTCTCTGGCACTGCTAACCCAACCGGGGACGAAACAGAACACTGAGCCTGTTAGACCAAAGTGTATTAGACACAGAACACAGTTCATTTTATAGGTCGCAATCAATCGTCTCCAATTCTATGTTCCTGAGCTGACTCAAACCACTTGCCTGGATAGATTCCATACCTGCTAGCGTGCGGCCCTGTCATGTAGCAATCTGTTTCATGCTAACGGTTTGATTTCGTCAGCTTCCGGCATGACTTGGCCTTGTTGCTGCCGCTGGGGTAGCAACACGTGTGATGATGACGAACTGATTTCATCAGCTTCCGGTGTGACTCAGCCCTGCTAACACCGGTCGGGTAGCAACGCGTGTCCTGATGATGGCGTCTCGAAACCGTGCCGCGTTCTTAGGCTGTGGACTCCGATTAAACCTACATCTTAATCGCAATCGACGTCTTTATTTTCCCTCCATTTTTTCATGCACACTACGAGTTGGCGTAGCATACGGATAAACAGCCGTGATCACTAAGCATGTTACGGGATGTGCTTATTCTCACTGACTTGGGTAGACGGGCGTTCGCTTTTGGTCTCATTGTTTGACAATATTCCGGACTCGCTGTTATGTCCTGTTCCGCTTAGTGTTGTTTTCGTGTGAAACGCGCTACATTTCGCGACTGAAAATTCACCCGTCATGCATGCGTAAAAGTGCATCCTTGATTTGGCTTGATCTATCTTTGTGGCTCACCAGCAAATGCAGCGGCGCGAATGAGCTACATGGCCTTATCGACCGAGTGTTTTTGTTGTGTGAATTTTATGCACGGTGGAATTATCCAACTGCTACAGATAATCCAGTCGCTTGCGGGCGATTATTCGACCGAGTGCGAGAAGATTGAGCACGCCACGTAAGTAATCTGATTATCACCCGTAGTTTCTTCACTGTTCACCGGTGTCCCTGGACATGTCCCAGCAATCACAGCCGGACAGTATCAAATGCTGGAAGATGGCGATGTATGTGTTATACCGTTCTTTCTGTCGATGCTGCAGTCGACCCAGTAGTTTCTGCTCTTCACAGTGTAGTTAGCAGTTTCAAGGGCGTTCACTCCTTAAGCCGATGGACAGATTTCTAATCATGTGCTTAAGACGCGACGTCTGAACATCATCTTGTCAAACGTTGTGCTCTTATCACACACGAACTATTCTCCTCAATTCCGTTGTCAATGGCTAAAACTCAACCTATATCATTCACACAAATCGGCCAAGGCTCACTTCCATGCAACAGCACCGCTCGAAGGTGAAACTTCCCGACGACACCGCAGATGCCTCAGACTCATCATCATCATCAACAGCAGTACATCAGCCATTTGAACTGATGCTTCGCTGCCATACAACCATGGGTACCTATGAAATAAAGAACAAGAAGAGGGAGAGAAGGGGGACTTA